AGCTTTGTTACGACAAAGAAAACTGTGAGTAGAAGATTGATAAAGCTTTGTTATGACAAAGGAAACTGTGAGTAGAAGATTGATAAAGCTTCATTACGACAAAGGAAACTATGAGTAGAAGATTGATAAAGCTTCATTACGACAAAGGAAACTGTGAGTAGAAGATTGATAAAGCTTTGTTATGACAAAGGAAACTATGAGTAGAAGATTGATAAAGCTTCATTATGACAAAGGAAACTGTGAGTAAAAGATTGATAAAGCTTCGTTATGACAAAGAAAACTGTGAGTAGAATCTTAATAAAGCTTCATTACGACAAAGAAAACTGTGAGTAGAAGCTTAACCAATCTTTGTTACGACAAAGAAACTCGGATTGGAATGTCAAACTGTTTTGTTCTATTAATGAAGAAACTGCTTCAATACATGTTGTGATATATATATATATATATATCTATAATTTCATTACTGAGATAGGGAGAAAATCAGCATGGGCCACGTAAGGTACTGTACTTGTATATGACAGATAGATGTGCCAGTTTTGAATGTTGAAAGATAGTAAATGTCTTTATTTTTTTACACTTTATTTATTATTTGATAAGCATGTCCTGAATAAGCAACTAATGATATGCTTCATTAATATGAATCTTTGTACTTTAACGTAACAGGAGGTAAACACTGAATAAAACTTAGAAATTAAAAAAAAAAAAAGTGATCATACTTTCAGAGGTTATTTTCAGTAAACGTATATCTTATATATATATATATGTATTGCGAACCATGGTGTCTGTCCATGCATTCATCTGTCTCCCATTTGAATAGCTGCACATGCAGGCAAAGCTCAACATTCACTTTTGAAATGATGGAAGAATAGGCATGAATAATTCGGTGACGAGGAACCCACTTTGAGACTAATAATGGTTGGAGACGGCTTGAATGGGTAATGAAGAAAAATTTAATATAAATTTAACATAACATCAAATGTACAATGTTTCGACAAGGTTTTGTCATCATCAAAGTTTTTCTTCATTACCCATTCAAGCCATCTCCAACCATTATCAGGCATGACTAATGTTGATGCCAAATTTTATTTTGCAAGCAGGATATTCTATACTAAATTTTTAGGAATTAATCACACTATCATTCACATTTCAAAATGTGATGTAACTTAATGAATAAAAATTTGGATTTACCGCATGTTATTGTTGATGCCTTATAGTATTATTGAAATGCTCAACAATTTCTTTTTGCGGTGGGGGTATAAGAAGCGCAGAGCTTTGGCTCTGAGTGAAACCAAGAGTGCAGCATAATTAACCCTTTCAAAGTCCATGAAATAATTTAAATTAATAGATTAACTTCAACTTTCCTGAAAGCACTCAAGTTTTGGGTCTTATTTTAAGTCTATTACACTTTATATGTGATTCTTTGTGCTAACTCTTTCACCAAAATTCAACTTTTCCATTTACCACTTCCAATATACAATGAGAAGTTCATGGTATCAAAAGCTTAATTTAAGCTACTTCTTAGGTCTCCAGTTTACCTAAAACTCTACCTGACAAAAATTAAGTGAGCTGCTCAGTTCTTTTCAGATGTTAAGAGTTTTTGTTTAGAACTTTCACACTCCAAACGTTCTAGTTCAAATATGACACTACAGGGGAAGATGCTCTCACTTGGATATTATGCTTTGTACATCTTCTTTCAAATTTGTGTTTTTCAAAGGAGAACCTCCATCAGCCTGCCCTCTTGGTGGGTCGTGAAGTGTAGTAAACGTCAATATGACAGAAAGGAGACCAAGAACTGGAGTAACCTAATGAAGATGACAGAATATAACACAGAAAATTAGTACAAGTGAAATATGTATAAAGGCCTCTATTTAATAACACAATAAATAAAATTCTACAGTTTTTTAATCTTTTACATATAATTTGTATAATAAGCATTAGTAATTGACAATATATATACAAAAAGCACAGTCGTTGAATATACCTTTTATAAGTAGTTGACAAGTAGCACATTATACAGTAATTACAGATTAAATTCATTCTCAAACATCACACAAATAAGCTACAGGAGGATTTGTAAGAGCAAGTAGGCTTAGCTGACATAAGACATGTTGAGTACCTGCAGTAAATTCTGTTGGAACACTTTACCGATATTTTAAACTGATCAAAAGAAACTTGACAAATTTGCTATGGATTGATATCTTGCCGACAAAGGCTTAATTACTACAATTCTATCTTTTCACAAACGTATTACCTTAATTAATAATTTATGTCGCAAATAAGACAAAATGGTAGAAATAGTTTTTTTCAATGGACATGACCACATCATTATATATATATATTTATATAACAAATCACATGCTTATTGTGTTATCTAGACAAACTTTTCTTTTTGTTTTTATACATACATACACAAATAACTATAAATGACTGGCATAAAATAAGTTTGAATGTAAAAGTTTGGGTGATAAAAGAACCATACAATCTACAGCTTTTCCAGTTCTTACAGATGCTTAAATACTTGTGCAGAACACATTTACTAAACAAAAATTATCATAGGTGGTGGTACAAGATGATCTTAAATCACAGTAAATTTTCCATTAGTGTAAGTATCAATGGAAACAGCATAAAATATTCACCGTGGTGCTTTAAGGTGACCTTGAATTATAGTAAATTTTAGATTACTTTAAGCACCAACATCAAATGTTTCATTTCAACAACAGACTCCAGATGAGGTAGGACGTAATAGAAGTCAGTACAAAGGAAGTAGTGATATCATGTAATAAGCAAATAAGGTTTTAGGGTCATATGGTGGCTCCATCTATTGTCATGTTTTATAAGTGTAAATTCTATGTGTGTATGTGTGTGTGTATATATATATATATATATATACACACATAAAACACACAAACTAAAAACTCAGGAGTAACCTTGCTTCCTACAATGGTTTTATTATATTTTACTCCTAAAATACTGGTAATGACTAATTCTAACTTACCCTCAAGGCCCATTTCCAATTCCCAAATAGGTTAGCAACTTCAGATCCAACTATATAACCCAAACCACTGTTGAGGAAAAAAAAAATTCATAGAAATATGGAGAAAAAATATACATCTAATTATTACACACTGTGATGACACATGTAGGAAAAATATTCTATTAAAAACTGTTGGTCAATGGCTTCAGAAACATATATCTTATATACATCTGTGAGCTTTCATAGTTAATATTATCTGCATGCATCATTAATGAATAGGCTAAATTAAATTAGTATTTTCATAATACACAATTGTCTTCATTAAAAGATGGTCTAAAAGTCAGTAGATATATTTTATACTTCAGTATCTTATTGACTGTTTTCTTCTTTATTCTACTTAAGAAGAAAAGTCAGCTACTTGAAAGAGCTTGAGTTTTTAGTCTTTCTTTTTATTTTAATATATTGCACCTTTTATGTGGGATCCTGTGCTTTTTTTTTTTTTTATTATCAAAAACGATTTATGGAAGCTACAGCTGTTAGTTTTCTGTAAAATTATGGCTCGTCTTGAAACTCAAGGGATAATATTTTCTTCAAACAATGGAAGTCTAACAATCATAATCTTGGCTAAATGGAATTGTACAACTTACCTGCCAAAAGGAATGGCGAAGTAGAACAGGGCGAGCATTTTTGATCTCATTGAATGAAAAAATAGATCTGCAATAATAGTTGGTGCAATAGTGGAGTAACTAGCCTCGCCAGTTCCCACGAATGCTCGAAGAACCATGAAAACCCCAACATACTGGAATTAATATGTAAAATATACAACTGATCCTTTTTTAATAAGCAAGAAAAAATAAATGGTTCTTTACAAAATCATATTAAGTAAACAGTTAATTTATATTATTTATCATAAAAAAATGAAAATTTTACTGATGTTTCATCTTAATGGGGAAAAGAAATTTAATATTTCATTTTAACTCATTTTCTTTTTACAGAAATATGCTACATTTTTCAAGTATAAAATAATATCTCCTAAAATCATTTAAAAAAGGCAAAAAATAAACTGGATATTTATACATTAAACTAATATAAACTGGATAGTTATAC